AGAAATAAAGACAAGTACAGAACAGAAGAATATACTCGCGAATCAGATAGATCTCTTTCACAGACTAGTATCTAGAACTATCAAAGAAATCTTACAACTCAGAAATAAAAAGACAACTAAGCCAATTAAAACATGGGCAAGAGAAATGAACAGACATTTCTCTGAACATGTAGAAATGGCCAATAAGCACATGAAAAGATGCTCGGCATCACTAGCCATCAGGGAAATGCAAATCAAAACCACACTGTGATCCTGTTTCACACCAACTAGAGAGGGTAAAATCAAAAAGACAGATGATGACAGGTGTTGACGAGGATGTGGAAAAACTGGAACCCACATTCACTGCCGGGAGAAACATAAAATGGTGTAGCTGGTTTGGAAAACAGGCTGGTCATTCCTCAAAAAGTTCTGGATAGAATTCACATATGACCCAGCATTTCCACTTCTAGGTGGATACCAAGAGAACTGAAAACACGTCTCCCCAAAACCTTGCACACAAGTGTCAGGGCAGCATTCTTCACAAAAGCCCCAAAGTGGAAGCAATCCAAATGCCCATCCACCGATGAACAGGTAAGCGGTGTGTCCACGTGACGAGCTGTAAAAAGGAAGGAGGTTCTGATGCGCGCCCCGATACGGATGCGCCCCGAGAACAGCATGCTACGGGAAACGGGCTCGTCACAAAAGACCACGCGCTGGGTGACTCCCTGCTCAGAGAACGTCCAGAACGGGCACATCGACGGGCAGGGAAAGCAGGGCGGTGGCTGTCGGGGACTGAGGCGGGCGTGGGGGACGGGAATGAGGAAGCAGTGCTGACGGGTATGTTTCTCTGGGGGAGACGAAAATGCTCTAAAATCGGAGGATGACGACTGGGAGCGCGATCCCGTGAATATACCGCAAAAACGGAATTCTACAGTTTAAATGGGTGAACTGTATGGTATGCGAATTATAACTCAATAAGCTGTTTTTAAAAACTAACAGGTGATGCACTGATGTTTTAGGTGCTTACCATTATGTTCACATAATGACGTTTCCCTAAATACGTACTTGCTGTGTTGTGGAAACTGGATCGAGATATAAACGAGGGGAAAGAACAGGAAGACTTATCTTTGGGGACGTGGGTAGCTGGGCAGCGATATTTAAGCCACATGTGCTGAATTTACGTGACGAGGAAGTCACCTGTAGCTCAGAGTGCCAGCAAACTGCGCTGCGTATCCTTGTTAAGGCTCCGTCACTCGCAGACTCCTAAACTCTAAGATGCAAACCCGACCTCCCCTTCAAAGCAAAGGCTGCTCCGCCGCAGGCCAGCTGTTCCCACGCCGCACCGAGGACGGGTGGGCTCAGCGGCAGAAGCCACACACTCACGTCGCTCAACGCCGGAAGCGCCAGCTGCTCGAAGGACGTCAGATCCACCACGTACTGGCCCACGCGGCAGCCCCGTCCTCCCGGCGGAGGCTCCGGCCTGGGGGAGAAGACGGTGAGGCTCGCTCAAGGGCCCCGCGCCGGTTTCTGGGTTCCGGCCGCCCCCACTGAACCCCTGGCTAAGCCGCCCGTGAAACCACCCGCGCAGGTGCGAAGCTGAACCGGACCCACGCTCTCTCCTGTGCCCAGGGCGACCGCCTGGCGGTCACGTTGGCGGGGCCGACCCCGGAGCTCTGGGAGCTGGCGCCCCAACTATCTCTGAAAAGTGGCGAGAGACCCGGGGCTGCGACCCACGGAGACGGGCTCGTCGCTCAGCAGAATATGCTGAGTGAAACACGAGACTTTTCTACTGTTCTGCACGTGACGGTTTCGATCTCCCTTTTCCTTCCCTGAGAAACCCACGAGGCCCAGGCCCCTCAGGACAGAAGGGACCACGCAGCTGGACCACGCGGCTCGACCCCGCGCCCAGGGCGAGCGGGACCCCGCAGAAGTGAAAGCTCAGTACCCAACTCGAGATAAAGGTCCCCGCAGGCCGGACAGGGTGACGACGTCGAATCCTATTCTTCTTCCGCCCTGTCTGACCTCTTCCGTGTAAAATCCAGCGACGGGCACGCCAGAGGACTGGAGAGCCGCGCTGGCTTTCTGGATCAGTGTGGTTTTTCCAACGCCTGAAAAAGGAAGAAGCCCGTGAGGAAGCTGTCCCCTGCGAGGGCCGCACGGCGCCCGCAACTCCAACAGCGGCCACCGCAGCCACCGTGGGAGAGACGGCTGCGGGTGGGCCTGATGGACAGTCACCTCGCTTGGTATCCCGATGCTCCAGCTGTGGCGACTTTTAATTCCGAGCAGAAAGGAGCATTGTGAAAACATAAGTGGTGCCTTAAAGTTTCTTTTAAAGTCTGAAACATTCTTAGTTGTGTCACATACACGGTCCCAGAGGCAGCTGAGTGGGATGCGGATGACAGCGGCAGTCACTGAGGGACAGAGCCCTGCGCAGTTCTCCGACGTGCGCCGGGGGCCCTCGTGCGCTGCTGTCACGTCCCTGACACCACTGTTTGTGTGAGATTTGGAGGAGGAAACCGTTAACGAAGAACGGATGTTTCATTTCGAGGACGCTTACAAGGGTTCTTGGGGAGCCCTGAAGACTGTGTGGGTAGCCACGGCAGTACAGCCGACCCGTGAACCGGGCAGGGGTTGAGGTGCTTGCCCAGTTCTGTCCCTCAGTGACTACTGCTTCAGGAAAGTCCCCGAAGCTCCTGTTCCATGCGGACAGGTGGCAGGGGGAAGGGGGG